TGCAAGAGAGTAATATTAATAAGAATAAAATTTGCCACAACTTTTGTTGTATAAAATTTTTTGTATTGTCTTCTGTTTCCAAAGTGATACCATTAACAACATGAAAACGCAACAAATATTAACATTTTTGTATATTTCTCAATATTGACGTGTCTAAGAGCAAAAGTGCAAGAGAGTAATATTAATAAGAATAAAATTTACCACAACTTTTGTTTAAAAAGATTTTTTGTATTGTCTTTGGTTTTCCANAACAAATCGCTTTGACATTATTCATGCGAACAAATTGCGTTTTGCTCGTCCACTTTTTCGAAATAAAAAAATTATCCGAAAATTCTTCCCTTATTTAAGATTTATACAAGATTAATTAAGGTGGCAATTCTTTTTCCTGCTAGAAACCGCAAAGTTAATTGACGTAACTCGGACATTCGGGGTTGAAACAGGGGCGTACTCAGAAGTCCGAGTTGATGAATGTCCGGTGCTGAAATAAAGGGCAAAGAGAAAAGGGGTGGACCAAGTCTCGGTCGTTAGCTTAAGTAATGGGGGAGGATTCTTTTTCGTAAAACCAAAATCAACCCGCAACTCTTCCATCCCCCTTATAACACAGGAAACAATACGGACTCGTATCCATCTTCCGGTTGTTATACGCGGGGATATTCTTTGTTTTCTTTGATATGGGTAACAAAAGGGATAGCATTCGTTTTGTTCTTTGCGATGAAAACGCGTAATGTTAAAAAAAATCTTTTTTATGGAATTAAGATGTGCTACAGTTAAAGAATTAACTAAATGGATCGTGAATAGACGATGAAAACATCGGGTAGAAACCAAAGAAAAGCGAAAACACCCCATTCAGTACAAATCGCCAATAAAACTTCGGCTCTCTCTATTATAACGCTTTTATTAGGTACGGTTCCACTGGGAAATCTACCAGGGTCGGACTAAATTTAAATCAAAAGATAAAGAGAAAAAAAAGACAATTTATTATCTATTTAGATTAATAAAAATATACAAAACCAGAACTAACACTAGATCTAGAACTAACACTAGAGGTAGAACTAGAAATATTCGAGTTTCTCGATATCTATGCATCTGAGAGCAAAAGTGCAAGAGAGCAATATTGTTAAGAATAAAATTTGGCACAACTTTTGCTCTAAAAGATTTTTTGTATTGTCCTCGGTTTCCCAAGTGATACCATTAAAACATGAAATAGCAACAAATTCATTAAATTTTCACATTTTTGCATTTTTCTCAATATTGACGTATCTAAGAGCAAAAGTGCAAGAAAGCAATATTGATAAGAATAAAAATCTAAAGTCTTTGGTTTTCCAAATAATACCATAACAACATGAAAAAGCTACAAATTCATCTAATTTTCATATTTTCTTATATATCTCGACATGGGTGCATTTGAAAGCAAAAGTACAAGAGAGCAATATTGTTAAGAATAAAATTTGCCATAACTTTTATTCTAACACATTTTACGTATTGTACTCTGCTTCCCAAGTGATATCATTAACAACATGAAAAAGCAACAAATATTCTCATTTTTGTATTTTTCTCAATATTGACGTGTCTAGGAGCAAAAGTACAAGAGAGCAATATTATTAACAATAAAATTTACCACAACTTTTATTCCAAAAGATTTTTTGTATTGTCTTTGGTTTCCCAAATGATACCATAACAACATGAAAAAGCAACAAATTCATAAAATATTCACATATTTGTATATTTCTCAATATTGACGTATCTAAGAGCAAAAGTGCAAGAAAGCAATATTGATAAGAATAAAATTTGCTACAACTTTTGTTCTAAAATATTTTTTGTATTATCTTCGGTTTCCCAAATAATACCATAACAACATGAAAAGCAACAAATTCATCAAATTTTCATATTTTCTTATATATCTCGACATGGGTGCATTTGAAAGCAAAAGTACAAGAGAGCAATATTGTTAAGAATAAAATTTGCCATAACTTTTGTTCTAATAGATTTGATGTATTCTGTTCTGCTTCCCAAGTGATATCACTAACAACATGAAAAAGCAACAAATATTCACATTTTTGTATATTTCTCAATATTGACGCATCTAAGAGCAAAAGTGCAAGAGAGCAATATTGTTAAGAATTAAATTTGCCACAACTTTTGTTCTAAACAATTTTTTGTATTGTCTTCGGTTTCCCAAGTGATACCATTAACAACATGAAATAGCAACAAATTCAATAAATTTTCAGATTTTTGTATTTTCCTCAATATTGACGCATCTAAGAGCAAAAGTGCAAGAGAGTAATATTAATAAGAATAAAATTTGCCACAACTTTTGTTGTATAAAATTTTTTGTATTGTCTTCTGTTTCCAAAGTGATACCATTAACAACATGAAAACGCAACAAATATTAACATTTTTGTATATTTCTCAATATTGACGTGTCTAAGAGCAAAAGTGCAAGAGAGTAATATTAATAAGAATAAAATTTACCACAACTTTTGTTTAAAAAGATTTTTTGTATTGTCTTTGGTTTCCCAAATAATACCATAACAACATGAAAAAGCTACAAATTCATCTAATTTTCAAATTTTCTTATATATCTCGACATAGGTGCATCTGAAAGCAAAAGTGCAAGAGAGCAATATTGTTAAGAATTAAATTTGCCACAACTTTTGTTCTAAAAAATGTTTTGTATTGTCTTCGGTTTCCCAAGTGATACCATTAACAACATGAAAAACAACAAATTCATCTAATTTTCATATTTTCTTATATATCTCGACATAGGTGCATCTAAAAGCAAAAGTGCAAGAGAGCAACATTGTTAAGGATTAAATTTGTCACAACTTTTGTTCTAAAAGATTTTTTGTATTGTCTTCGGTTTCCCAAGTGATACCATTAACAACATGAAAACGCAACAAATATTCACATTTTTGTATATTTCTCAATATTCATGTATCTTAGAGCAAAAGTGTAAGAGAGTAATATTGTTAAGAATTAAATTTGCCATAACTTTTGTTCTAAAAGATTTTTTGTACTGTCTTCGGTTTCCCAAGTGATACCACTAACAACATGAAAAAGCTACAAATTCATCTAATTTTCATATTTTCTTATATATCTCGACATAGGTGCATCTAAAAGCAAAAGTGCAAGAGAGCAATATTGATAAGAATAAAATTTGCCACATCTTTTGTTCTAAAAGATTTTTCGTATTGTCTTCGGTTTCCCAAGTGATACCATTAACAACATAAATATGCAACAAATTCATCAAATTTTCATATTTTCTTATATATCTCGACATGGGTGCATTTGAAAGCAAAAGTACAAGAGAGCAATATTGTTAAGAATAAACTTTGCCATAACTTTTGTTCTAATAGATTTGATGTATTCTGTTCTGCTTCCCAAGTGATATCACTAACAACATGAAAAAGCAACAAATATTCACATTTTTGTATATTTCTCAATATTGACGCATCTAAGAGCAAAAGTGCAAGAGAGTAATATTGATAAGAATAAAATTTGCTACATCTTTTGTTCTAAAAGATTTTTTGTATTGTCTTTGGTTTCCCAAGTAATACCATAACAACATGAAAAAACAAGAAATTCATCAAAACTTCATATTTTCTTATATATCTCGACATAGGTGCATCTGAAAGCAAAAGTGCAAAAGAGCAATATTGATAAGAATAAAATTTGCCACATCTTTTGTTCTGAAAGATTTTATGTATCGTGTTCTGCTTCCCAAATGATATCATTAACAACATGAAAAAGCAACAAATATTCACATTTTTGTATTTTTTTCAATATTGACGTATCTAACAGCTAAAGTGCAAGAGAGCAGTATTGTTAAGAATAAAATTTACTACAAATTTTATTCAAAAAGTTTTTTTATAACATGCTCCGATTTCCGAGTGTTGCCATTAACAACTTGTAAAACAACGAAATTCAGCAAAACCTCATATTTTCGTATTTTTCTTGATATCTATCCATTTGAGAACAAAACTGCAAGAGAGCAATATTGTTAAGAACAATTTAATACGATTTTTATTTAACAAACGAATAAATGTAACAAATTTTCTTTTCGTTTTAAATCCAATCCTGTTCATTTTTTCCCCTCAGAATCGTTTCGAAAACCACCCCAACCATCCACTCATCTCTCGTGGGGTGCGCTAATACACAGCTAATAACCGAATGTCGACACTTCCGGTTCACTAAGCTACTACAGCGACGGGGAGCTTTCGACCTATTTCTTTTCATCTCTTTCTCACCCAAGCCTCCACCAGGTCTCTTTAATTCTCTTCCATCCTTTGCTAGAATAAATTCATTTATACGTTTATAGTAGTTGGTTTGGTTGTGTATCCAGAGGCGGTCATTATGACCGTCGACGGCGACGTGACAATCCCATTGGGGTCGTCCTCGTTGACGTAATGGATGAGATACGCCCGACCGGATTCGGATTATTTTTTTATTAGCCGATTATGGTAATAATGCCCCCTCGAGGAGTCTTCTTTATTATTGTGTAGAGAGATGGGATGAATGGGAGGGCAAAAAGTGTAACGAAGTTAAAAGTTGTTACGGTCTCCTACCGTTGATAATTTTATTATTCCTTTCATTTTTTTTTTGTATTTTTGTGGCGTTTTATTCATTGTAGGCTTAAAAAAATTATTTCAAAATTAAAATTAAATTTAAATAACGTTGAGTTAGGCAACTTTTTATACAAATAGTCGAGTTAAATCAAATATTAATAGATGGCGCTTAAATATTATTTTTTTTTAATCACCTTTAATAATATTAATTAATTAAATTCAATTGAATATTAAATTTAAGTGGAATTTTTTAAATTAAGTTGTGAACCAATTTTATTTTAACTTTAATTAGTAATCTTTTTTAAAAATCGTAACTTAAATACGCACTTAATAGATGGCGATACATGTATTGTAGTTTTATGATAAAGGGGACATCGTTTAGCAAAGATGGCCATAGATGGGGCTATATGAAATAAAATTTTTATATAAGTGCATTATTCACGTTTATTTCTTCAATCAAAAACATTTTTTTTGCAATAAACATGTTATTAATTCGAAAATTAATTTTTAACCATTCAACCATCTCAAAAGTCTTCTTGTAGCAGGACATTGACTTACAGGAACACATTGTGTGTTAGTTCCATCTAAATAAACCTGTCCAGAAGGACATTTTGGATCTTTGCAAGCTTCAACGCAGATTTTATCAGGGCAATTAAATCCGACAGTGTTGTCACAATTTTCTCTTGCACATGGAGTTTCGCAAGGGAATAGTGCTTTATTTCCAGTACAAGATACAGCTAAATAAAATGGCTTGATTAATTAATTAAAAAAAAGATCAGGAAATGAACTTAATTAGAAAAAGATAGCAGGAGAGTTGGCGACCTGGAAAGAAGCAGGGGATAGAGAGTACGAGGGATACGCTAGAGCTGTTAAGAGGGGTGCGGGAAACGAAGTGGACCCGGTCGGTACTGGAGGAAGGCTGGGGGAGAGAAAGGGCGCGAGCAAGAACATCATCATAGTTCAGGGTGGGGAGAATATCGTGGATAGCGCGGAATTGAAGAATGATGTGGTGAAGAAGCTAGAAAAAGAAGACACCTGGAAAGACGTAAAGTTGAAAAGGGTAACCAAGCTGAAAAACAAGAGGGAGACTCGGGGAGGGATGTTGAATTGGTAAGGGAGAAGATCGGGGGTCAGGACATAACGATACGGGAACCAGCAATGGTGTGGCCTAAGGTGATACTCTATGACATGGACAGAGAGATGAACGAGGGGGTATTATTGGAGCAGCTATGGGGTAAAAACACTGAGCAAGGGGTTGGGATAGGTTGGCATGACTTCAAGAACGAGGTCAGAATATTGTTCAAGACGAGCAGAAGGGAAAAGGGGGTGGTAAATTATGTTATGGAAGTGTCAGGGAGAGTGAGAAGGGAGATTACAAGATTTGGGAGGGTATATATTGGGTTGTCGTCATTGAGAATTGACGACTTCATAGACGTGAAGAGGTGCTACAGATGCCAGGGCAAACTATGTGCAAACTGCAAAGCCAGGGGGAAGGATGACAGACATGAAACAAGGGACAGAAACTGTGGGGAATACCAGATAGCGGCGGAGTTGGTGAAGAGAAGTATTAATTATGACGACATGAAGAGAGGACAGCAAGGGACTTTATCAAAAAACTAGACGGGGGAGGGGAGAAGCCAGAGAAGAGCGAGGGGCTAAAAATGGTGTTCTGGAATGTAGCGGGGATTACGAATAAGGGAGGGCAGTTCTGGGAATACCTGAAGAGATTTGAGGTGATTTGTATGGTGGAGACCTGGGTTGATGAAGGAGGGTGGGCAAAGATTGAGGGAAAATTGCCAGAAGGGTATAGATGGGATTGCGTGTATGCAGAGAGAAGAAGTAAGAGAGGAAGAGCGTGCGGGGGTATTATAACAGGAATAGCGAGAGGAATTACGGAGGAGAGTAAGACGGAGGGGAGATGGAGGCAGAAGGGAATGGTAAAAAGGCAGATCAGCTGGGGGAGAGAGACGGTGCAGATAGTTACTGTGTATAGCAAGTCAATGAAAGAGACGAGAAAGCAATGGAATGAGATGGCGGGGGATGGGACGGGGGAATATATAATAATGGGAGGGGATTTCAATGCTAGAGTGGGCGAGGAGGGGGGAAGGGTGGAGATATGGGGAGAGGAGGGACGACGGCGGTCGAAGGATACTGTGCGGAATGGAGAAGGAACAGAAATGCTGAGATGGGTGGAGGAGAACGGATGGGAGATACTGAATGGAAATAAAGAGGAAGGAGAGGAAGGGGAGTATACTTACATCGGGGCGAGGGGGACATCTGTGATTGATTATGTACTGGTGGATCAGGAAATGTGGGAGAGGGTGGAAAGGTTTAAAGTGGGAGAAGCGGTAGAGTCGGATCACCAACCGTTGGAGGTGGAGGTAAAGGGGGTGGACGGCAGAAGGCGAGCGGAAATGGGGAGCACGTTCATCAGGACAGACTGGTCGGAAGAAGGGGTAGCATTCTACAGGGGAAACCTAGACACTTGGCAACAGAAGATACAAGAGATCAATGGTTTGGAAGAACTTATCCAGGTAGTGCGGGAGGCAACACTGAAAAGGGAGTGTGTACGTAGGGGGGGCAGAGTAGGGAGGAACGACTGGTATGATGGCGAGTGCAAGAAGGCGAAGAGGGAGGCGAGAAGGAGGTTGAGGCAGTGGAGACGGGGGAAGATAGGGGTGGATAGATATAGGGAGGCCAGGAGAGGATACAGAGAGTTATGCAGTAGAAAGAAAACAGAACTGAGGGAGAAGGAGGCGGCAGAGATTAGAGGGATAACAAGGGAAGGGGAGGTCTGGAGGTATCTGAAAAAGAGAAAGAAGGGTAGGGAGAGGATAACCAGCGAAATACACATGACAGAATGGAAGAGTTACTTTATGGGATTATTGGGAGGGGTTGAAACGAGGCTAACGGGTTTGGGAGGCTATGAGGGAGATGGGGGAGAGGAGATAGCAGAAGAGGAGATGGAAGCAGTGCTTAGGGGATTGAAGAAGGGAAAGGCGCCAGGGGAAGATGGGATCCAGAACGAGGCATGGTTGGAAGCATCAAGGGTGGTGAGAGTGAAGTTGTTGGAGGGGATGAATAGCGTATGGAGAGGGGGTGGGATTCCGGAGGGATGGAAAGTGGGGGTAATTTGCCCAGTATATAAAAAGGGTAATAAGGGAAGGGTAGAGAGCTACAGGGGAATTAACCTACTAGACTCGGCATACAAGGTATACACGAAGATACTGCTGGGAAGATTGGAGGAGGAGATGGAGTTGGGGGGAATTTTGCCGGATGGGCAGGCAGGCTTTCGGAAGGGAAGGGGAGCAATCGACAACGTGTATGTGTTGAAGCATTTGGCAGATAGAGAGCTGGATAAGAAGGGAGGGAAATTGTACGCCCTGTTTATAGATTTGAAGGCGGCTTTTGATAAGGTGGATAGGGGGAAGTTGTGGGAGGAGATGGGGAGGAGGGGGATAACGGAACACCTAATTGCGAGAGTGAAGGAAATATACATGGAGACGATGGCTAGGATAAAAGTGGGAGATAAGCTGAGCGACGTGTTCTGGACGACGAAGGGACTGAGGCAGGGATGTCCGCTGAGCCCAAGTCTGTTTGCACTGTATACGGCGGACCTGGAGGAAAGATTGGGGAAGGGGCAGATGGGAGGATTGGTGGTGGGAGGTAGAAAGGTGCATATGTTAGCATACGCGGATGACATCGTGGTCATGGCGAGAGAAGCGGTGGAGATGAAGGATATGATAAAGACATTGGAAAGATATTTTAGGGGGAAGGGGCTGGAAGTGAATGTGGGGAAGACAAGGATGATGAAGTTTTGTAAGGGTGGGAGAAAAAGAACAGAAAACTGGAGATGGGAGGGAAAGGAGATCGAGGAGGTTAGGGAGTATACTTACTTGGGGTATGTGTTTAGGGAGGATAACAGGGAGGGGTCGCATGTGATAGCTATGGCAAAAAAGGCGAATAAGGTGATGGGACAAGTATGGGGTTGGGGGAAGAGAGTCTTTGGAAGGAATGTGGCAGCGAGGAAGATTATGTTTGAAGGTCTGGTTAGCAGTGTGATGATGTATGGGGCAGAGGTATGGGGATGGAGGGAGCAGGGACCGCTGGAGGACGTGCAGGCTAGATATTGGAGATGGGTGCTTGGGGTGGCGAGAGAAACACCGGGGTATATAGTGAGGGAAGAGGTAAAGGTGGATAAGGTCAGGGTGGAGGCGGGCAGGAGGGCAGTGAAATATGAAGAAAGAATAGAAGGGAGGCCAAGCTGCGGGATCCTGGGGGAGTGTTGGAGGGAAATTAGAGAGGGAAAGGTCAGATATGGGAAAGGACACAGAGACAACTATTATAGACGAGCGGGCTACTCGGTAACGGAGATAAATAGTAGACGAAGGGTGGGTAGGGAGATGTGGAGGGAGTTGAGAGACAGGGACCGAGATGTGCAGAGACAGGAAAGAAGGACACAAATAAAAGAGGGAAGGTATAACGAAAGATACAGGGACATAATTACGGAGGGGCTGCCTAGATACTTGTTATTGGAAAGAGATGAGGAAGGGAAAAAGTTGGTGGCTAGGTTCCGTTGTGGAAACGAGGAGAGAGCCAACAAATACTGGATGGCCGATGAGGAGAGGTGGTGTAGGCTGTGCAGGGAGGAATGGGAAACGTTAGAACACATGCTGAATGGGTGCAGTGAGTTGAGGGAGGAGGAGATGGACCGAAGGCAGATCTTAGGAGAGGGGGGAGAGGGGAAACGATGGATGAGAATGGTGATGGGGGTGAGGAGACAAAGGGATGGGTGAGGGGATGATTGGGCCGAGGAGCCGAGGGCGTGGAAATGGAGGAAGAGGGTAGAGAGTGAAAGTAATATTTGAATAATGTAAAGAATTGTAAACAATTACTGTATACAATAAACTCTTAATAATAATTAATTAAAAAGATATTTGAAGTACTCACGACACATGGTTGCAGTCCTCCAATCAACCGGAGCTCCAGCCTCAGTACATAATTGGGCATAAGATGAAATTACAGCGCAATAATGATTTTTACGTTGAGCTGGAGGAACTCCTTTTTGCTGTTGGGAATTTTGTCGGCATTTTTCTAACCATGGTTCAACCGGAACTAAGTAATTACAAGTTTTAAAGACTCCATTCTTAAGATATTCGCAAGGGTCATCGGGAATAAGCATGGAATAAGGCTAAAAATGAAAAAATTAATACAAAAAAAATTAATGATTAATAATTTACTCCAATTTCAGTTGCCGAAGCACAACTTGAATCGCGTTTCCAATTATTAACAAAATCAACGACTCCATTTAACGTTTTCCCAGGTACTTCTAAATCATTAGCTGGGTTATTATCGTATTGGCCACATAAACCTGAACTGTGTTGAGTTAACCATAAAGGACTGACATGAACTTGGAGTTGGCCGCTTCGATTCCAAACGAATCTTATCCCAGCATTGAGAACATCAACGAAAACTGAAGCACCCATATCGGTCATAATCAAATTGGTTAATTGGCTTTGAACGATGGTTCCATCGATATTGAAGATAATTGTTTCTGTAACTCCATTCGGGGCTCTTCTATGAATTGATGCAGTTCGCATACAAGCCCCAGTGGGGCAAGAAGATGACTCAATTGTAGCTCTAATCATCCCAAAAGTAGGTGATTGATAAAAGAAGACGACATATTCGCAATATCCTTCAAACGAAAAGATCGTGTCATCGAACGATCTGATATGAACATCTCCAGAAGCAATACATGTTTCCCAATGGTCAGTTTCAGGGATACACTCCCATAATCCCGCGTTACAAGTACTTAAATAAATAAATAAATTATTTTACGTTGTGTAAAAATTGATTTTTTTACCATCTTTCTTCCCGGTTGCTTACAACGGAGTTATCGGGGTAACTGATTCCTTTATACATGCATGGACATTCTTCGGGACGAACGCAAACTCCAATTGCGGTGTCCAAAACGAATCCAACTACACATTCGCATCCTCCAACGCAATTTTCAAAGTTAGGACGTTCTTCTAAATGCTTGTTGTAACAAGTTAAGGTGTTGGTTCGTTTGCAACCGGCGTAAACCAAGAACGTATTTGAACAATCTTGGCTTGGATCTGTTATTTCTGTTGGGGTGCTATCGGTTATCACCCAACGTCCGTTTACGCAAGTGCTGTTAAAAAGGAAGTATAAAAAAGATAACTTAAAATTATAATTTTGTTGAATAAAGATCGAATAACGTTAAATAACATTTAAAACTAGAACTAACACTACACCTAGAACTAGAAACATTCGAGTTTAGCCGCACGTCTTCAGACTAAAGCCACGTTTTTATATATTTTTTTAATATTGACGTATCTAAAAGCAAAAGTGTAAGAGAGCAATATTGTTAAGAATAAAATTTGCCACAACTTTTGTTCTAAAAGATTTTATGTATTGTGTTCTGCTTCCTAAGTGATATCATTAACAACATGAAAAAGCAACAAATTCATCAAATATTCACATTTTTGTAGTTTTCTCAATATTGACGTGTCTAAGAGCAAAAGTGCAAGAGAGCAATATTGTTAAGAATAAAATTTGCCATAACTTTTGTTCTAAAAGATTTTTTGTATTGTGCTCTATTCCCCAAGTGTTACCATAACAACATAAAAAAGCAAAATATTCATCAAATTTTCACATTTTTGTATTTTTCTCAATATTGACGTGTCTAAGAGCAAAAGTGCAAGAGAGCAATATTGTTAAGAATAAAATTTGCCATAACTTTTGTTCTAAAAGATTTTTTGTATTGTGCTCTATTCCCCAAGTGTTACCATAACAACATAAAAAAGCAAAATATTCATCAAATTTTCACATTTTTGTATTTTTCTCAATATTGACGTGTCTAAGAGCAAAAGTGCAAGAGAGCAATATTGTTAAGAATAAAATTTGCCACAACTTTTGTTCTAAAAGATTTTTTGTATTGTGCTCTGTTCCCCAAGTGTTACCATAGCAACATGAAAAAGCAAAATATTCATCAAATTTTCACATTTTTGTATTTTTCTCAATATTGACGTATCTAAGAGCAAAAGTGCAAGAGAGCAATATTGTTAAGAATAAAATTTGCCACAACTTTTGTTCTAAAAGATTTTTTGTATTGTGCTCTGTTCCCCAAGTGTTACCATAGCAACATGAAAAAGCACCAAATTCATAAAATTCTCACATTTTTGTATTTTTCTCAATATTGACGCATCTAAGAGCAAAAGTGCAAGAGAGCAATATTGTTAAGAATAAAATTTGCCATAACTTTTGTTCTAAAAGATTTTTTGTATTGTCCTCTATTCCCCAAGAATTACCATAGCAACATGAAAAAGCAAAATATTCATCAAATATTCACGTTTTTGTATTTTTCTCAATATTGACGTCTCTAAGAGCAAAAGTGCAAGAGAGCAATATTGTTAAGAATAAAATTTTTCACAACTTTTGTTCTAAAAGATTTTTTGTATTGTGCTCTATTTCCCAAGTGTTACCATAACATCATGAAAAAGCAAAATGTTCATCAAATATTCACATTTTTGTATATTTCTCAATATTGACGTGTCTAAGAACAAAAATGTAAGAGAGCAATATTGATAAGAATAAAATTTTCCACAACTTTTGTTTTAAAAGATTGTTTGTATTGTATTCTGTTTCCCAAGTGATACCATTAACAACATGAAAAAGCAACAAATTCATCAAATTTTCTCATTTTTGTATTTTTCTCAATATTGACGCGTTTAAGAGCAAAAGTGCAAGAGAGCAATATTGTTAAGAATAAAATTTGCCATAACTTTTGTTCTAAAAGTTTTTTTGTATTGTGCTCTGTTCCCCAAGTGTTACCATAACAACATGAAAAAGTAAAATATTCATCAAATTTTCACATTTTTCTCAATATTGACGTGTTTAAGAGCAAAAGTGTAAGAGAGCAATATTGTTAAGAATAAAATTTGCCACAACTTTTGTTCTAAAGGATTTTTTGTATTGTCTTCGGTTTCCCAAGTGATACCATTAACAACATTTCATCAAATTTTCTCATTTTTGTGGGGTCAGTTGAAGTAGGATCTGCATTATTCACCTATTTATGGTCTTGGAAACATCTAGAAATATAAAAACTAGGGCAGAACAACAATAGTCATATCCTAATACATTGGCAAGAATGATAATCACCCTCCAACGTGAAAGAAATAACATTAATATTCCCAATTGGAGGCCACACCTTTCTTCCAGCAGACTGGGTTTTTGGCAGATTAGAGAAATAAATCAAAAAACAAACGGTAATTTTGTGATTGTTTGGAGCATGATGTTGGTGTGTCTTTTTATTTATTTACCCTTAACCTATCCTTTTTACTCTATGCATTCACAATCTAAAAGTGCTATAATATCCAACGTTCTGTTCCAAACGTTCTACTTATTTTCATTTCAGGTCATAAGGTGCTAATTTCAGAAATTCTGATCAAAAGGTGTTATTTCCACTTTTTAATGTTAAATTTTGTGCTTTTTTAGTAATGGCACAAAAAATATATATAAAAATATATATTACATACATTTTTCAATAGCAATAAGTTATTTTTAGTTTTGAAGAGAAGCTCCTCAAGTGGTAAAGAATAATGAGAAAGATGTTTCAAATACTTACTATTTTAAAGCTTGATCTTTATCAACGAAATAATTTCCTGCGCTAAATCTAGCACCNCTCCTCAAGTGGTAAAGAATAATGAGAAAGATGTTTCAAATAAGATGTTTCAAATACTTACTATTTTAAAGCTTGATCTTTATCAACGAAATAATTTCCTGCGCTAAATCTAGCACCATTCCATATACAAGTACATTGATTAATTGGAACGCATTGATCGTTATAATTCATCGCTTGTCCTGCAGGACATCTACACCCTCCCTCACACTCTTCCACGCAATTACCACTTAATGAGATATCATCGCAAGTTTGGCAAGAACTTCCACAAGCTTGATAAGTTTGTCCACTTGGGCAAGTCACAGAACATTGAGTAATCGTATCCCTCCAATTAACAGTAATCCCATTCTTAAAACATTTCCTTTCTTGAGCCATAAAATGCTCGCATAAACACCTGGTGTCATCAACCTCGCAATTACACCCATCATAAACGCAATCTTCATAATCAGCTTGAGGGTTAGCGGAACATCCGGCGAATAAACTTGAGATAATGGGCGAGCAAATATTTTCAGCGTTTACTTCCCTCGATGGATTTACGAGACACGGATGAATCGGTTCTGCGACATTTTCGTTCTCACAGCTTCCAGGAACCTTCCAAGAATGTCCAAATTCGTTGGGGTCAGTTGTTATTGTATCATCGGGTTTGGTGAAATCATCAACTTGAGTGTCGGTGAGGGTCCCAAGTAAACCTTCAACTCGGTTATGGAAAACCCACGGAACGCAAACTCGAACGTACCATTGGCCGGTGAATTGAATTGTGATTCCGTTCCATAAAGTAACTAAAATAAATTTTTAGATGATGCGATCAGTTAAAATTGATGTGGTACCTTGAACGAATTCCGTGGTGGGTTTGCTGATTAAGAAATCGGGTAAATTCGAATATGGGAACCATCCGATTGTGTTGCCATTAACTGTAACAACTTGTGATTGTCCCAAAACGATGTTGTATCCATCGATGTTGATGAGGACTCTTGCGCAAACAGCTGGGGCGGACGAAGTGATGTCTTTCTGATGATTGAAGTGAATTAATTAATTAATCTTAATAAGATCTTATAACACGAGCGGGCGAGTGTCATAAAATTAATATGTATTACGTTATTTTTAATAAAACAGTTAAAACACATTTTGCTAGTAGACAATTTAAAAAGGTGTAAAATGAGTCCAAACTCGACCTATCTAGGTGGTTTCCCACCCAAGATATATTTGTTTTTAAAAATCAAGATGGCCGAAAACAAAACACTAATTATTTATGTCATTTATGGTTTTGAAAGTGAATTTTATGATAGATATAGAGTGTGATATAACAAATTAGGTTAGAATTTTCCGATCTTTACAAAAATCGTATTATTTTTTTTGTTTTTTAAAATTAAGAAAATCCAAGATGGCCGAAAATAAATGATGCGTGTATATTACGGTAGATAATTAAAAAACGCGTAAAATGAATCCAAACTCGACCTATCTATGTGTTATAACATCGGAGATATCTTTGTTTTTAAAAATCAAGATGGCCGAAAACAAAACACTAATTAATTATGTCATTTATTCTTTTAGAAGTGAATTTTATGATAGATATAAAGTGTGATATATTAAATTAGGTTAGAATTTTCCGATCTTTACAAAAATCGCATTATTTTTTTGTTTTTTAAATTTTGTAAAATCTAAGATCGTCGAAAATAAATAATGCGTGTATATTACAGTAGATAATTAAAATCTGCGTAAAATGAGTCCAAACTCGACCTATCTATGTGTTATAACACCCGGGATACCTTTGTTTAAAAAAATCAAGATGGCCGAAAACAAAACACTAATTATTTATGTCATTTATGGTTTTAAAAGTGAATTTTATGATAGATATAAAGTGTGATATATCAAATTAGGTTAAAATTTTCCGATCTTTACAAAAATCGTATTATTTTCTTTGTTTTTTAAAATTACGAAAATCTAAGATGGCCGAAAACAAATAATGCGTGTATATTACGGTAGTTAATTAAAAAACGCTTAAAATGAGTCCAAACTCGGCCTATCTATGTGTTATAAAACCCAAGATATCTTAGTTTTTAAAAATCAAGATGGCCGAAAACAAAACACTAATTATTTATGTCATTTATGGTTTTGAAAGTGAATTAAATGATAGATATAAAACGTGATATATCAAATTAGGTTAGAATTTTCCAATCTTTACAAAAATCGTATTATTTTTTTTGTTTTTTACATTTTAAAAAATCTAAGATGGTCGAAAATAAATAATGCGTGTATATTACGGTAGTTAATTAAAAAGCGCGTAAAATGAGTCCAAACTCGACCTATCTATGTGTTATAACACCCGAGATAAATTTGTTTTTAAAAATCAAGATGGCCGAAAACAAAACACTAATTATTTATGTCATTTATGGTTTTGAAAGTGAATTAAATGATAGATATAGAACGTGATATATCAAATTAGGTTAGAATTTTCCGATCTTTACAAAAATCGTATTATTTTTTTTGTTTTCTAAATTTTATAAAATCCAAGATGGTCTAAAATTAATAATGCGTGTATATTATGGTAGATAATTAAAAAATGTGTAAAATGAGTCCACACTCAACCTATCTATGTGTTATAACACCCGAGATATCTTTGTTTTAAAAAATCAAGATGGCCGAAAACAAAACACTAATTAATTATGTCATTTATGCTTTTAGAAGTGAATTTTATGATAGATATAAAGTGTGATATATCAAATTAGGTTAGAATTTTCCGATCTTTACAAAAATCGTATTATTTTTTATGTTTTCTAAATTTTATAAAATCCAAGATGGTCTAAAATTAATAATGCGTGTATATTATGGTAGATAATTAAAAAATGTGTAAAATGAGTCCACACTCAACCTATCTATGTGTTATAACACCCGAGATATCTTTGTTTTAAAAAATCAAGATGGCCGAAAACAAAACACTAATTAATTATGTCATTTATGCTTTTAGAAGTGAATTTTATGATAGATATAAAGTGTGATATATCAAATTAGATTAGAATTTTCCGATCTTTACAAAAATCGTATTATTTTTTTTGTTTTTTAATTTTTAGAAAATCTAAGATGGTCGAAAATAAATACTGCGTGTATATTACGGTAGTTAATTAAAAAACGCATAAAATGAGTCCAAACTCGACCTATCTATGTGTTATAACACCCTACTATCCGTGCGAAAAGTCAAGGCCCCTCACTTTAGAGATCGATATCTTCGTAGCTGTGCGATGGAAAAAATTGCGGTAAAATTTATTGTAATCAGTGAACATTTCTGCGTATCACATGTTAATTTGGAAATTTTCGGGTCCGCGGTTTTTCTTTTATCGCGAGTTAAGCAAGAAAAGTACCCGATTTTTGGAGTGCCAGCAACTTTGTCTACTTTGCGATTTTTTTTCTCCAAAACTATTTGACGAAAAAAATTCAAATTGCAACTGGTGGTAAACCGATGTGTTCTTAATGTGGGGCATATTTTATTTTTTCGATATTCCATATAGTTTCGCGGAAAATTGTGGTTTAATAGGATGCGGTTATTTTTAAAATGACTTGGCGGATTTCAACGCGGTTTTTACTCAAATATGTCAAATAATGTCGGTTGTCGGATTTCCGTCCAATCCGAACAGATGGTGTGTCCCAGACAGTACGTCGCCCCTTTATCTTACCTACATAAAGAAATAAGGCGCGACGTCCTGTCTGGGACGCACCATCTGTTCCGATTGGACGGAACCCCCTTCACCCCGCAGAGCTTATTTCTGTTTCTCTTTAATTAGTAATTCCATTAAATCGCTCTTAAAAAATTAGGGAGCTCTAATTTTGAAAAACTGATAACGGACATGAAGATGATTTAAATTGTTTACTTACGTAAATACCGCTAGCTGTGTAAACGTAGTGGTCGCAAATGATATCAAAACCGTTCCCACGAACGAGATAATACAAGCATTTTCCTTGGAAATCGTATTTTTTGCCATCGAATGTGGTGCAGTGGGGGTCCCCAATGCATTCAGCACAAACCATGCAATCATTCTGAAAAAAAATCATTTAACAAAAGTCCAAAATAATTTTTAATTAATTTTATTTTAAAGCTCATCCTTATCCTTATCTTTACATACATTAGTACAAGACCATTGCCCATTTGAGCAAGTACAAGAATTACATTCTTGTTGGGTCGTCGTCCCGCTCGCATAATAAGTCCCATCGTAAAAGCAAGGACATTCGGAGAGTGTTAAACACTCATCCTCGTATAATCTTAACCCGTTTGAGCAATAACACCCTTCTTCGCAATCGTATAAGCTTGGATCGGTCACTTCGGGTTCCCAACAATCTAATTGTTTGTTGTTGTGGGCGCATCTCATATAACTTTCATCAGGGACCGAACATGAGATTGCTAAAACGCTTTTTTTTTAATTTTCTCTTAATTAATTAATTTATGGTTACTTACGACACATTGTAGCACCTCTCCAACTCACCAACATGTCAAAACCAACCTCGCAAGTTCTTACAAACATGTCTAACATGGAACATTCGCAATCGACTGCGTTTGATAAAGCGCAAGAGCAATAACTTGACATGCAAATATCGAGGAAAGCGCCGGCAATTAACTGAAAATTAATTAATTCATTAAATTAATGTTTACTAATTAAGGCATGGAAGTTTTGTAACAAAACTATAAGATTTCTCCCCTTCACTTGTTCTCATTGTCAGTGGCGTCCAACTAAAATTTTTGTTCTAAAAGATTTTTATACAAATTTTCGTATTTTTCTCAATATCAATGCATTTAAGAGCAAAAGTGCAAGAGGGCAATATTGTTAAAGATACAATTTACTACAACTTTTGTTCTAAAAGCTTTTTTGTATCGTACTTCGTTTCTGAGTACTATCATTAAAACTTGAAGAAGTAACAAATTCGTGAAATTTTCACATTTTTGTATTTTTCACAATATTGACGTATTTAAGAGCAAAAGTGCAAGAGAGCAATATTGTTAAGAATTAAATTTGCCACAACTTTTGTTCTAAAAGATTTTTTGTATTGTGCTCTGTTACCCAAGTGTTACCATAGCAACATGAAAAAGCAAAATACTTATCAAATATACACATTTTTGTATTTTTCTCAATATTGACGTATATAAGAGCAAAAGCACTAGAGAGCAGTATTGTTAAGAATAACATTTGCTACAACTATTGTACTAAAAGTTTTTTTGTATCGTGCTTTGTTTCCTGAGTACTATCATTAACAACTTGAAAAAGTAACAAATTCGTGAAATTTTCACATTTTTGTATTTTTCTCAATATTGACGGGTCTAAGAGCAAAAGTGTAAAAGAGCAATACTGTTAAAGATAACATTTGCTACAACTTTTGTTCTAAAAGTTTTTTTGTATTGTGCACTACTTCCCTAATGTTACCATTAACATGAAAAAGCAACAAATTCATTAAATTTTCACATTTTTATATTTTTCTCAATATTGACGTATCTAAGAGCAAAAGTGCAAGAGAGCAATATTGTTAAGAATTAAATTTGCCACAACTTTTATTATAAAAGTTTTTTTGTATCGTGCTTTATTGTCCGTGTGTTACCATTAACAAGAGAAAATAACAAATTTATCAAATTTTCACATTTTTATATTTTTCTCAATATTGACGTATCTAAAAGCAAAAGTGCAACAGAGCAATATTGTTAAGAATTAAATTTGCCACAACTTTTATTATAAAAGCTTTTTTGTATTGTACACTACTTCCCTAATGTTACCATTAACATGAAAAAGCAACAAATTCATTAAATTTTCACATTTTTATATTTTTCTCAATATTGACGTATCTAAAAGCAAAAGTGCAACAGAGCAATATTGTTAAGAATTAAATTTGCCACAACTTTTATTATAAAAGCTTTTTTGTATTGTACACTACTTCCCTAATGTTACCATTAACATGAAAAAGCAACAAATTCATTAAATTTTCACATTTTTATATTTTTCTCAATATTGACGTATCTAAGAGCAAAAGTGCAAGAGAGCAATATTGTTAAGAATTAAATTTGCCACAACTTTTGTTCTAAAAGATTTTTTGTATTATGCTCTGTTACCCAAGTGTTACCATAGCAACATGAAAAAGCAAAATACTTATCAAATATTCACATTTTTGTATTTTTCTCAATATTGACGTATCTAAGAGCAAAAGCACTAGAGAGCAGTATTGTTAAGAATAAAATTTGCTACAACTATTGTACTAAAAGCTTTTTTGTATCGTGCTTTGTTTCCCGAGTGCTACCATTAACACCTTGAAAAAGTAACAAATTCATCAAATTTTCACATTTTTGTATTTTTCTCAATATTGACGTATCTAAGAGCAAAAGCACGAGAGAGCAGTATTGTTAAGAATAAAATTTGTTACAAGTTTGGTTCTAAAAGTTTTTTTGTATCGTGCTCTATTTCCCGAGTATTATCATTATTATATAATATAAATTCAATAAAAATCAATACTTTTTCTGGTCTTTTTCAATTTATTGTCTAACCGGTTTCGGCTTACGCCATCATCAGAGACATTAGAAATATAGATTAGATTTTAACAACTTATTTTCCATTTAGTTGTTTATGTAAACGGCTTCACAAAGGTATACAAGATAAAATTATAAATATGAACATATTAAAACTCGCGTTAAAAGTTAAAATTTACACGTTAACATATAAAACAATACTATAAAACTTGGATTGCCGGGCACGAATTTAAATTTATATTATATAAAAAAAAATAACTGGTCAATATGGATCAAACTCCCTCATCTTATTATCATTATGCCATTAACAACTTGAAAAAGCAACAAATTCATAAAATTTTCACATTTACATATTTTTCTCGATGTTTACGCATTCCAGAGGAAAAGTGCAAGAGAGCTATATTGTTAAAGATAAAATTTGCTACAACTTTTGTTCTAAAAGTTTTTTTGTATTGTGCACTACTTCCTTACTATTACCATTAACATGAAAAAGCAACAAATTCATTAAATTTTCACATTTTTATATTTTTCTGAATATTGACGTATCTAAGAGCAAAAGTGCAAGAGAGCTATATTGTTAAGAATTAAATTTGCCACAACTTTTATTATAAAAGTTTTTTTGTATCGTGCTTTATTGCCCGTGTGTTACCATTAACAAGAAAAAGTAACAAATTTATCAAATTTTCACATTCTTGTATTTTTCTCAATATTGACGTATCTAAGAGCAAAAGTGTAAGAGAGCAATATTGTTAAGAATTAAATTTCCTACAACTTTTGTACTAAAAGTTTTTTTGTGCCGTGCTTTGTTTCCCGAGTGCTAATAACAACATGAAAAAACAACAAATTTATCAAATTTTCACATTTTTGTATTTTTCTCAATATTGACGAATCTAAGAGCAAAAGTGCAAGAGAACAATATTGTTAAGAATAAAATTTGCCACAACTTTTGTTCTAAAAGTTTTTTTGTATTGTGCTCTGTCCCCAGGGTGTTACCATAGCAACATGAAAAAGCAAGATATTCATAAAATTTTCTCATTTTTATATTTTTCTCAATATTGACATATCTTAGAGCAAAAGTGCAAGAGAGCAATATTGTTAAGAATTAAATTTGCCACGACTTTTATTATAAAAGTTTTTTTGTATCGTGCTTTATTGCCCGTGTGTTACCATTAACAAGAAAAAGTAACAAATTTATCAAATTTTCAGATTTTTGTATTTTTCTCAATATTGACGTATCTAAGAGCAAAAGTGCAAGAGAGCAATATTGTTAAAGATAAAATTTGCTACAACTTTTGTTCTAAAAGTTTTTTTGTATTGTGCACTACTTCCCTAATGTTACCATTAACATGAAAAAGCAACAAATTCATTAAACTTTCACATTTTTATATTTTTCTCAATATTGACGTATCTAAGAGCAAAAGTGCAAGAGAGCAATATTGTTAAGAATTAAATTTGCCACAACTTTTATTATAAAAGTTTTTTTGTATCGTGCTTTATTGTCCGTGTGTTACCATTAACAAGAGAAAATAACAAATTTATCAAATTTTCACATTTTTATATTTTTCTCAATATTGACGTATCTAAAAGCAAAAGTGCAACAGAGCAATATTGTTAAGAATTAAATTTGCCACAACTTTTATTATAAAAGCTTTTTTGTATTGTACACTACTTCCCTAATGTTACCATTAACATGAAAAAGCAACAAATTCATTAAATTTTCACATTTTTATATTTTTCTCAATATTGACGTATCTAAGAGCAAAAGTGCAAGAGAGCAATATTGTTAAGAATTAAATTTGCCACAACTTTTATTATAAAAGTTTTTTTGTATCGTGCTTTATTCCCCGAGTGCTACCATTAACACTTTGAAAAAGTAACAAATTCATCAAATGTTCACATTTTTGTATTTTTCTCAATATTGACGCATTCAAGAGCAAAAGTGCAAGAGAGCAATATTGTTAAGAATGAAATTTGCTACAACTTATGTACTAAAAGTTTTTTTGTGCCGTGCTTTATTTCCCGAGTGCTACCATTAACACTTTGAAAAAGTAACAAATTCATCAAATGTTCACATTTTTGTATTTTTCTCAATATTAACGCATTCAAGAGCAAAAGTGCAAGAGAGCAATATTGTTAAATATAAAATTTGCTACAACTTTTGTTCTAAAAGTTTTTTTGTATCGTGCTTTGTTTCCCGAGTGTTATCATTAAGGCACGGAACTTTTGTAACAAAACGATACGATTTCCCCCCTCCACTTGTTTTCAGTGGCGTCCTAGAAAATACTTCGTTGGCGACAAGTGGAGGGGGAAATCGTATCGTTTTGTTACAAAAATTCCGTGCCCTATTAATAATTGATTTAGTACTTACGGTGCAATCTCCGAATTGAGGGTTATTAATAAATAGGTTGTCACAAAAAGTTTGAGCAGCCGATAATTGATTTTGAGTACAAGTTAATGTGAAATCGGATGAAGTACAAGTTGTAGTGGCCCATGAATCAGCCCAAGCTGTAACTGAAGCAGCTTGTTGCCCGTTTGGTAATAATAAATCATCGTTAACACATCCGTTATTATCAGCGCATAATCCCAAAGTGTTCGGTGTTGTTGCCGAATTCTTCAAAATTATCTCAACGGTCTACAAAAAAAATAATAATTAATCTTTTCACCCAAAATTGTTTCCTTACATCTCCATCATATTTAATTTTCATATCCAAAGCGACGATTTTAACCACAACCATCCGACCTGGTCTACTAAATTTAACCCCACTCGTCGTGCTTGGAATCCCTTGGAAGTTACCATCTTTCGTTAAAGAAGCAACATTATTTAATAAAGTGATCACAAAAATTTTTCCACCCCAAACAACTTCCAAACTCGACGGATTCCTTTTATAGGTAACACTTAAACCTTTTCCCGGAATCAAAAGGAGTTGATAATCACAGCTTGATAGAAATCCATAAACGTTTCCATCGAAAGTTTTAACTTGAATATCATCGTAAATGATACAATTAACGGTGGGCTAAAATTATTTCTTGTTTAATACCTAATTGATTAAAAAGGAAAATTTAAAAACTTACACTTCGTTCACATTGTGCCGATATCTTATTAATCAGCAAAATTGCGATTAAAGAAAATAGTAAAAATTTCAGCATCTTTATGCTAAAATGATACTGGATAAAAATTGTTTTGAGTGGATTCCTTTTTATATGTTGTACTAGGGGCAATTAAAAAATTAAAATTTTAAACAAAATAAATTAAAAGATTAAAAATAAATAATATAAATAAATTGGGACAGTTTATTGGGGTATTGTCCAGTAAGAATTGTTTGTTTGGATAATCAGGGCAAAAAGGACACCAATAAAACATGCGGATCATAAATCTTGCAGTAACAAACCGAAAAATCTACATTCTAAAAATAAGAACTAATTAGAGTAAAGATGTCAAGAAAGGTGAAAGTCTTTTATGAGGAAATGCGCTTTTATTTTAATAAAAAATTTGTTTGTTTTTATTCAACATGTCGCGTTAAATAAGATTTATGAACGCTTTGTGTAAAAATTTATGAACGTCTTGTGATTTTTTATGGTCTAAAGTTTCAAAAATTATCTCAAACAAAGCAAAAAGTAATTTATAAAATATCTGCAGAGTTCGCTTTAAAAAATCACAGCGATTAAGTTTATGGGAAATAAGAAATTATTTATGGTACATTTAATCCTTATTAAATTTGTTTTAAAATGGTGGTTATTTCATCGTTATATCTCAATTAGTTCTTGAGATACGATTTTTTTAATTTCTATTAAAATTAATAACGATGAAAAATACAGAGTTGGGGTTAAAAAATCATCATAAGGATGTTTATGGAAACTAAGAAATTATTTATGGCACATTTAATCCTCATTAAATTTGCTTTAAAATGTTGTTTATTTCATTATGATATCTCAATTAGTTCTTGAGATACGATTTTTTTAATTTCAATTAAAATTAATAACGATGAAAAGTACAGAGTTGGGGTTAAAAAATCATCACAACGATGTTTATGAAAACTAAGAAATTATTTATGGCACATTGCATTTTCATTAAATTTGCTTCAAAATGTTTGTTATTTCGTTGTCATATCTCAATTAGTTTTTGAGATACGATTTTTTGAATTTCTATTAAATTAATACTGATAAAAAGAACAGAGTTGGGGTTAAAAAATCATCACAACGATGTTTATGGAAACTAAGAAATTATTTATGGCACATTGAATTCTCATTAAATTTGCTTTAAAATGTTTGTTATTTCATTGTCACATCTCAATTAGTTTTTGAGATACGATTTTTTGAATTACTATTAAATTAATACTGATAAAAAGAACAGAGTTGGGGTTAAAAAATCATCACAACTATGTTTATGGAAACTAAGAAATTATTTATGGTACATCTAATCCTAATTAAATTTTCTTTAAAATGTTGCTTATTTCATCATTATATCTCAATTAGTTCTTGAGATACGATTTTTTTAATTTCTATTAAATTAATAACGACAAAAAATACAGAGTTGGGGTTAAAAAATCATCACAACGATGTTTATGGAAACTAAGAAATTATTTATGGTACATTGAATCCTCATTAAATTTGCTTTAAAATGTTATTTATTTCATCATGATATCTCAATTAGTTCTTGAGATACGATTTTTTTAATTTCAATTAAAATTAATAACGATGAAAAGTACAGAGTTAGGGTTAAAAAATCATCACAACGATGTTTATGGAAACTAAGAAATTATGTATGGTACATCTAATCTTTATTAAATTTGCTTTAAAATGGTGGTTATTTCATCGTTACATCTCAATTAGTTCTTAAGATACGATTTTTTGAATTTCTATTAAAATTAATAACGATGAAATGTAGAGTTGGGGTTAAAAAAATCATCACAAAGATGTTTATGGAAACTAAGAAATTATTTATGGCACATTAAATTCTCATTAAATTTGCTTTAAAATGATTGTTATTTCATTGTCATATCTCAATTAGTTTTTGAGATAGGATTTTTTGAATTTCTATTAAATTAATAATGATAAAAAGAACAGAGCTGGGGTTAAAAAATCATCATAACGATGTTTATGGAAACTAAGAAATTATTTATGGTACATCTAATCCTAATTAAATTTGCTTTCAACTGGTGGTTATTTCATCATTATATCTCAATTAGTTCTTGAGATACGATTTTTTTAATTTCTATTAAAATTAATAGCGATAAAAAGTGCAACGTTGGGGTTAAAAAATCATCACAACTATGTTTATGGAAACTAAGAAATTATTTATGGCACATTGAATCCTCATTAAATTTGCTTTAAAATGTTGGTTATTTCATCATTATATCTCAATTAGTTCTTGAGATACGATTTTTTTAATTTCTATTAAAATTAATAGCGATAAAAAGTGCAACGTTGGGGTTAAAAAATCATCACAACTATGTTTATGGAAACTAAGAAATTATTTATGGTACATCTAATCCTAATTAAATTTGCTTTAAAATGTTGCTTATTTCATCATTATATCTCAATTAGTTCTTGAGATACGATTTTTTGAATTTCTATTAAAATTAATAACGATAAGAAGTACAACGTTGGGGTTAAAAAATCATCACAACTATGTTTATGGAAACTAAGAAATTATTTATGGTAAATCTAATCCTAATTAAATTTGCTTTCAACTGGTGGTTATTTCATCATTATATCTCAATTAGTTCTCGAGATACGATTTTTTAAATTTTTATTAAAATTAATAATCATGAAATATAGAGTTGGCGGTAAAGAATCACAACGATGTTTATGGAATCTGAAAAATTATTTATGGCACATTGAATCGTTATTAAATTTGCTTTAAAATGGTGGTTATTTCATCGTTATATCTCAATTAGTTCTTAAGATACGATTTTTATAAAAATCGAAAAAAATTTTAATTTTTTAAATATCAAGAATTTACCTCAACTTCAAAAATTAATATCTCAAGAACTAAAAGATATTTTTAAAATCGGTCTTTTTCATTCGAAAGATCATAGTTTTCTTAATTATTTTTGAAAATTTTGATTAAATTGGCAGAAAAATCGATTTTTTCCGATTTTTATAAACGCGATAGGTAAAAATTGTAATTTTTATACATCAAGAATTTACCTCAACTTTAAAAATTAATATCTCAAGAACTAAAAGATATTTTTAAAATCGGTCTTTTTCATTCGAAAGACCATAGTTTTCTTAATCATTTTTGAAAATGTTGATTAAATTGGCAGAAAAATCGATTTTTTCCGATTTTTATAAACGCGATAGGTAAAAATTGTAATTTTTATACATCAAGAATTTACCTCAAATTTAAAAATTAATATCTCAAGAAATAAAAGATATTTTTAAAATCGGTCTTTTTCATTCGAAAGATCATAGTTTTCTTAATTATTCTTGAAAATTTTGATTAAATCTGTTGAAAAATCGATCTTTTTCGATTTTTATAAACACGATAGGTAAAAATTGTAATTTTTAAAACATCGAGAGTTTACCTCAACTTCAAAAATTAATATCTCAAGAACTAAAAGGTGTTTCTAAAATCGGTCTTTTTCATTCGAAAGATCATAGTTTTCTTAATTATTCTTGAAAATTTTGATTAAATCTGTTGAAAAATCGATTTTTAGCGATTTTTATAAACATGATAGGTAAAAATTGTAATTTTTAAAACATCAAGAATTTACCTCAACTTCAAAAATTAATATCTCAAGAACTAAAAGATATTTTTCAAATCGGTCTTTTTCATTCGAAAGATCATAGTTTTCTTAATTATTCTTGAAAATTTTGATTAAATCTGTTGAAAAATCGATTTTTAGCGATTTTTATAAACATGATAGGTAAAAATTGTAATTTTTAAAACATCAAGAATTTACCTCAACTTCAAAAATTAATATCTCAAGAACTAAAAGATATTTTTAAAATCGGTCTTTTTCATTCGAAAGATCATAGTTTTCTTAATTATTCTTGAAAATTTTGATTAAATCTGTTGAAAAATCGATCTTTTTCGATTTTTATAAACACGATAGGTAAAAATTGTAATTTTTAAAACATCGAGAGTTTACCTCAACTTCAAAAATTAATATCTCAAGAACTAAAAGGTGTTTCTAAAATCGGTCTTTTTCATTCGAAAGATCATAGTTTTCTTAATTATTTTTGAAAATTTTGATTAAATTGGCAGAAAAATCGATTTTTTCCGATTTTTATAAACGCGATAGGTAAAAATTGTAATTTTTATACATCAAGAATTTACCTCAACTTCAAAAATTAATATCTCACGAACTAAAAGATATTTTTAAAATCTGTCTTTTTCATTCGAAAGATCATAGTTTTCTTAATCATTTTTGAAAATTTTGATTAAATTGGCAGAAAAATCGATTTTTTGCGATTTTAATAAACGCGATAGGTAAAAATTGTAATTTTTAAAACATCAAGAATTTACCTCAACTTCAAAAATTAATATCTCAAGAACTAAAAGATATTTTTAAAATCGGTCTTTTTCATTCGAAAGATCATAGTTTTCTTAATCATTTTTGAAAATTTTGATTAAATTGGCAGAAAAATCGATTTTTTGCGATTTTTATAAACGCGATAGGTAAAAATTGTAATTTTTAAAACATCAAGAATTTACCTCAACTTCAAAAATTAATATCTCAAGAACTAAAAGATATTTTTAAAATCGGTCTTGTTCATTCGAAAGATCATAGTTTTCTTAATCATTCTTGAAAATTTTGATTAAATTGGTAGAAAAATCGATTTTTTGCGATTTTTATAAACACGATAGGTAAAAATTGTAATTTTTAAAACATCAAGATTTACCTCAACTTCAAAATTTAATATCTCAAGAACTAAAAGATATTTTTAAAATCGGTCTTTTTCATTCGAAAGATCATAGTTTTCTTAATTATTTTTGAAAATTTTGATTAAATCGGTTGAAAAATCGATTTTTTGCGATTTTTATAAAAAAATTGAAATTTTTAAAACATCAGAAATTTACCTCAACTTCAAAAATTAATATCTCAAGAACTAAAAGATATTTTTAAAATCGGTCTTTTTCATTCGAAAGATCATAGTTTTCTTAATTATTTTTGAAAATTTTGATTAAATCGGTTGAAAAA